TATCTTTATTGAAGTGAATTACGTATAAATCGCCTTCATGCATGAATGAATGATATTTTTGCAATTTTACACATAATAATCCACGATGATCACATTACACAAAACTGAAATTGCACATCAAAATAACACATTGTCAATATGTTTTGAGACCCCCCAAAATTTCACAAATCACGTTTTCAGGGGAGCACATGTCTTATTAAGGGGAGCCGAGCTCCCCCGTAGTTCGCACCCTGATTGTAAGCCTTCATTCACGCGCAAGCGCACGAAGTGCAAGCTCCCCCAAAGTCCACGGTATAGTTCGAACACTGCCTGGAACACTAACTCAATAACAGTTAACTGATTTTATACAGAGATAATGTTGAGATTTTTAGTGAATAATAACTTAAACTTCAGTCTGTTTCACACAAAACTATCGTATGAATTCAGAGGACATGAAATATAGCGTATGGACCACTTTTACCAGTTTTCTAGTGCTTTTGCATCGTTTGATTGAAATTGCATGAAAAAATGACTAGTACATTCTTCAATATGTCTCCTTTTGTGTTCCACAGAAATAGTGTTTGGAACAACATGGTGAGTAAATGATGACAGGAGTTTCTTCTTTTTTCTTTTGGTGAACTATACCTTTAAACGGCCTAGCCAAAGCTGTTAGAGGGGGTGTCCAGATACATTTGGGCATATATTTTGTTGGGATATTCAAGAATTATCCCAATGCACTTGTAAACTTAAATATGATTTAAACAAGAAACAGAGCTCAAGTATGATGAATTCTTCTGCATGTACACAGTATGGGATGTGGAGAGATGATGAGACATGGAGAAGGGGGAGGAGACAGAAACACATGACTAATTTTCAATGAGAGAAACAGCGTGGAAGGAAAGAAAATGAATAGATGAGAGAGCACATCGATGGCAGAGAGGAAAGAGAGCAGACTATACAGGAAGAACTTACGTTTTTCTGTTGTTTTCTTAAATATGACAGCATTCTCTCCAGAAGTGTAGAATTTAAAGTATGTGCAGTTTGATTCTGAGGGCGAGAAATGAGACAGTGAGAGAGAAGAATGAGACAGTGAAGGTGAAGAATAAAGATCAATCAGAAAAACAAAAAAAGGCACTTGAGCTCTCTGGAAGCCCTGTGAGGGTCATTGTGTATTAATGTGCCGAGGACACAGAGCAGCCCTCTCACATATGGCACTGAAAGAACAAGAGAGACGGAGAACGAAGCAGATGGAGAGGGAGGGAACGAGAGTGAGGCAGATGGAAAGAGAGGACGAAGGGCAGAAAAAGGAAGAACATACTCAGGTTAATATATACAACATCAAATCCACATTCACTCTCTCTTGTCCTCTGCATCTTGTCTGTTGTCTTCTAACATTTCCATTTTTTTTCACTCATGTCCTCTATATTTAGACTTGAAACCGGGCAGCAGTCAGATTGCAGTTTATCCATGCGCAATATGACTACCTTTCTGCTTTAACTTTGACCATCTTTTCCACAACTTTCACCTAATTAAAAATGATAATGATCAAATTGTATATAGTCATAAAACAGCCGTGGCCAAAAGTTTTAAGAATGACACAAATAATAATTTTCACAAAGTCTGCTGCTACAATGTTTTTAGATCTTTTTGTCAGATGTTACTATGGTATACTGAAGTATAATTACAAGAATTGCATAAGTGTCAAAGGCTTTTATTGACAATTACAATAAGTTTATGCAAAGACCCAGTATTTGCAGTGTTGACCCTTCTTTTTTAAGACCTCTGCAATTCGCCCTGGCATGCTGTCAATCAACTTCTAGGCCACATCCTGACTGATGGCAGCCCATTCTTGCATAATCAGTGCTTGGAGTTTCTCAGAATTTGTGGGTTTTTGTTTGTCCAACCGCCTCTTGAGGATTGACCACAAGTTCTCAATGGCATTAAGGTCTGGGGAGTTTTCTGGCCATGGACCCAAAATTTTGATGTTTTGTTCCCCGAGCCACTTAGTTTTCACTTTTACCTTATGGCAAGGTGCTCCAGCATGCTGGAAAAGGCATTATTCATCACCAAACTGTTCTTGGGTGGTTGGGAGAAGTTGCTCTCGGAGGATGTTTTTGTACCATTCTTTATTCATGGCTGTGTTCTTAGGTAAAATTGTGAGTGGGCCCACTCCCTTGGCTGAGAAGCAACCCCACACATGAATGGTCTCAGGATGCTTTACTGTTGGCATGACACAGGACTGATGGTAGCGCTCACCTTTTCTTCTCCGGACAAGTTTTATTCCGGATGCCCCATACAATCAGAAAGGGGATTTATTAAAGAAAATGACTTTACCCCAGCCCTCAGCGGTCCAATCCCTGTACCTTTTGGAGAATATCAGTCTGTCCCTGATGTTTTTCCTGGAGAGAAGTGGGTTCTTTGCTGCTCTTCTTGACGCCACACTCTGAAAAAAGATGGTTCTTTAAAGGTTCTTTGCATGCAGTAATGGTTTTATTAAGAACCATAGCATTCTGAAGAACCCTTTTATGCTGAAACGGTTCTTTGTGTTAGAGTTTAGGGTTCTTTATTCCCGCTCTTTTGTTTTTCAAATCTGTAACTGACAAAGCATCTCATTTCTGATTTTCTGGAGTTCAGTGATCCAACTACACAGACTGTCAACACACTCTTGACAGGTAAATGATTTCATTCTTAAATTTAAACACAAATTTTACTTTAAAATTGTAACTGGTTTCCAAACAAACATGTTCTTATCTTTTTTTAGTTTTTGGTCACATAAGTGTGTGCAACTCTGCTAAGCTGTGGAAACTTCTCTCCTCTTCTCCACAGATGTATCACATCCTACAACCTCATCATCTGCAGAGAAAAATCGCCACTTAATCACACCAAAATGATGGACTTAAAGGCATCATAGAGGATTGTGATTGTTTCACTGAAACTTCTTTCATCACATCTATTTTTTGTTTTACTTCATGTATTTATTCATGTTCAATGTCAATTGTCATTCATAAATGTATTCAGCTAATAACTGTTGTTAAGAGCACTGAATGTCAATTTTGCATGTCAATAAAAACATAATTCACACAACATGCTGCTGTTGTGGTTATTGTTTTAATGTAAAATCCTAACCGAGGCTATACTCTTAAGATTCCTCATTACTGATTTTCTGGAGCTCAGCCATCAAACTACACAGACTGTCAGCACACTCTCAACAGGTAAATAATTTCTTTCTTAAAATGTCTATAAATGTTAACGTTCAAATGCCAATTGGTTTTTCTGTCTGTTCTCTTTTTAGTTTACAGATGCTGTCACATCCTACAACCTCATCATCTGCAGAGAGAAACTGCCATTCAATCACACCAAAATACAGATAATGATTAACTTAAAGGCATCAAGAAGTTTGTGAAGATGTGTCACTGGAGCTCGTCTTCAATAAACTATTTCATGTTATATTTTGTTTTAATTATTTTAGCATTCATTTATGTTCAATGTCCATTTTCATTCATTAATGTATTATGCTAATAACTGTTGTTAGAACAGTCATTTTTGCTACAATTTCACGTCATTAAAAAAATAAAAGGTACCTAATTGACACGTCGTTGTTGTTTTTATGTAAAACCTTAACAGACACTTCAAGATATTATAAGACCAATATTAATAAATAATATATACAAATATTAATGTACTAATATTAATGAAAAACTATCACTAAAAAGGTCATTTATAACACCATTTAGGTCCTATATGGCATTTTCAAAGCATGGTTCTATATGGAACCCTATAAAAAAGGTTCTATTTAGCACTAAAAAGGGTTCTGCTATTGTTACAAGCCGAAGAACCCTTTTCTGGTACTGTTTAGAACCATTTTTCTTAAGAGTGCAGGCTATCCTCCAAAAGTCTTGGCCTCACTGTGCGTGTAGATGCACTCACACCTGCCTGCTGCCATTCCTGAGCAAACTCTGCGCTGGTGGTGCCCCGATCCCGCAGCTGAATCAACTTTAGGAGACGGTCCTGGCGCTTGCTGGACTTTCTTGGGTGCCCTGAAGCCTTCTTCACAGCAACTGAACCTCTCCCCTTGAAGTTCTTGATGATCCGATAAATGATTGATTTAGGTGCAATCTTACTAGCAGCATTATCCTTGCCTGTGAATCCCTTTTTGTGCAAAGCAATGATAACTGCACACGTTTCCTTGCAGGTAACCATAGTTAACAGAGGAAGAACAATGATTTCAAGCACCACCGTCCTTTTAAAGTTTCCAGTCTGTTATTCTAACTCAATCAGCATGACAGAGTGATCTCTAGCCTTTACCTCATCAACACTCTCACCTGTGTTAATGAGAGAATCACTGTAAAGTTGCTTTGCAATGATTTGTATCGTGAAAAGTGCTGTACAAATAAACTTGACTTGACTTGACATGATATCAGCTGGTCCCTTTGTGGCAAGGCTGTAATACAGTGGAAATGTTTTTGGGATTAAGTTAATTTTCATGGCGAAGAGGGACTTCATCTGATCACTCTTCATAACATTCTGGAGTATACACAAATTGCCATCATAAAAACTGAGGCAGCAGACTTTGTGAAAATTAATATTGTGTCATTCTCAAAACGTTTGGCCACGGCTGTAGATAAAAAAAAAAAATCGAATCATACACATATACATACATTTTATACATACATACTTTTCATTTTGGAGATTTTATGTGCTTTTAACATTATTTTATCATATTTAAAAGCAATTACATATAATTAAAAACAATTATATTCTAATTAATTCATTGATTTAGTCACAAATAATTGCATATACAAATATTTGCTGAGAAAAGCCCCGAAACTGAGAAAATTCAAACACACTATTCAAAGCTATCATTGTAAGCTTTAACTAGACATAAATAAAGTGTCTTTAGAAGTCAATATATTGTTTGTTTTATTTTCACACCAGTGAACATAAACCAATCACTGACCTACAGTCCACAGCAATTCATATTTTGTCAATTCGTTCAAAGTTGATTCAGGGTCACACATAACACATTCTTGCATTTCCCACCTATGCTGATTTTTTAGCTACACATGAATCGCAGTCATGTTTTTGCCCATTTTGTTGTATCTTGTTGCTTTTTTCTAGCATATCTCACCAAGAAAGTCACATTTCAAGAGACTTTGTCAAGTTAAAAGAATTTAAACATCACTTTTCAATATGGTATGAAAAATCCTTTTTATGTGCACACTATTATTTCCGTAGGGGTCAAAGGGCATGATTAAATGCTTATTGTTTTTTTTATTATTATTATGTCATGTTTTATAATTAGACAAATAAATATAATTTCAATGTTTTATATATTTACATAAATGTAAAAATACTAATGTTTAAATAAATATATATAATAATTGTACTAAATTATTTTGTCAGCCTAATTTAAATACACGTACTCGGCACACACATGCACATTCAAATAAGGTCACTGCTGTGAGCTGCACTAGATATGATTAGCATAGAGCTGGTAATGTAATATTGAACAGATCTCTTAAAAATGCATCATGGAAGTCATAACTGAGAATGGAATCAAGGCATCTCTATGGCAGGGTTGCAGCATTAAATCATTAAGACATTTTAGTTATCAATAACAGTATGTAATATGTTCGATGCAGAAACCAAACTAGTTGCCTTTTCTCTGAATTGGCCAAATCTTTCCCAATTTGGCAGGAAAAAAAATGGCCCAAAATGTGCTGTTCTGCATTCTCAGCTAATTTTATGATCTGACAGGTTCAAGTAGAGAGTGGAACTGTTCCTTAACAGAGCTGGCAGTCGGACCAGTGGCACTGTTACAAGAGACATCATCACAGTCCTCTGGGCCTTACAAACTGAGGCAAATGAAGCTCCCTGGCTCTCTGTTCATGTGTGTTGTTACGTGAGAGGTAAGATGAATATCACAAACCAGAACACTAAGCAGCTAGTACTGCGTCTCAGAAAGTCAACAGTCATTAATAACATCACTGTTTGACTGTAGGTGTGCTGAATGCTGCTTTGTGTCTTTAAAAACAATTCTGCATGATTTGCTCCTCCTGCTATATACATATACGAATGCTATATAATGTGCTCACATTTCCAACAATAGCCTAAAACTCTTTTGTGTATGTGTTTATTCATTTAGTAAACTTTATAATTTCTTTATTGTTCCTTATTATTTTGTATTTTTATCTCATGATTTCAGCCTCCAGTTTCCCCAGGAGCCAAACAAACAACACACTGGTTTGGTAGGCCAGGTGTGTAATATGGTGAGTATATTCAGAATAGAAAACTATCATACTTTCTACTGAATTCTACACTGTGCAACTTTTTAAAAATAGTATGTGAAACAGAATGCATTATGCAACAAGAAATGCTTTTAACAGCATTATGCTGCATGTTTAATTTATCAAGTAGTGTACAAGTATCATATCTTGGAAATAAAAACTGTTTTTTGCATTTTAAATCACATTTTTATGTTAATAATAATAATGATATATTATCCAAAAAATAGATTCCTGTTTACTTGTAGTGTATATATTATATATATATATACCTAAATAATTTTTTTTTTTTTTTTTTTACAAGTTTCTTATGCTTACCAAGGCTGCATTTATTTAATAAAAAATACAATAAAAACAGTTATATTTGATGATTATTACAATTTAAAAGACCTGTTTTCCATTTTAAAATTCAATGTATTCCTGTGATGCAAAGCTAAATTTTCAGTCTTCAGTGTCACATGATCCTTCAGAAATCATTCTAATATGCTGATTTGCTGCTCAACCAATATTTCTAATTATTATCAATGTTACAAACAGCTGTACTGCTTAACATTCTTGTGGGGAGTAATAACTGATAACAAGTGAGAACCAAATCAGCATATTAGAATGATTTCTGAAGGATCACGTGACACTGAAGACTAAAGTAAATAGAAAGCAGTTATTTTAAACTGTAATCGTTTTTTAACGTATTTTTGCCTTGGTGAGCTTAAGAGACTATATGTTTAAATAGTGAGCCAAGTCAAGAAACAGATGTTAAAATTCACAGCACATATTACAATTTGAGCACACTGCATTGTGGGATACAGTATGCAGCAGTTCATCCAGATGTTATGCATACAGAAAATTTGCATAACAGTGAGAGAAGTATGGTAGTATTCTGTTCTGAATATAGACAGTGGGTGGATGAGTGAGTATGTACTCTCACCTCCAGGTAGTTCTGCAGGTCCACAGCTCTCTCTCTCCGGGTCAATATCTGACACCCATAGCGTGCGAACGCATAATTTCCAAAGGCCGTAATGTGCCATCTCACATGTCTGGTTGTTCCTGGAGTGTTTTGGCTGAGATAACTCCACCCAGAACTCTGTACCCATGCCAAGTACCGTCAGAGTCACGCCTATGAGGGCGACAAAAAATGCCAGCTTGATCTTGCCCTCCTGGCTGTCACTCATTCGAGGGGGCTTCAGCCGTTTACCTGAACGCCCGCTCTTACCGCCAACTCCACCCAAAGCCGCCGTACCTACTCTCCCGTCGTCTTCCTGTTGCAAAAAAAAGTTGGACCACATGGCAGCCACAAGAGTTGGAGATGAGAGGAGGAAATTCCCAGAGGCAAAGTCAAGAAAGGGGACAAACAAATAACTAAAGCAAAAAACAGGAGACTAGAGAGTCTGGAGTTAGGCGGACGGATAGATAATGAGCACGCAGAGAAGTATATTAATAGAAAGCTCAAAAAGGAACAGGAAATGATTACAATGTTCTGTGATTTAAAAAGAATCCAGCGTGCAAGAAATTCAAGTGACAGGGGGTCATTTCTGAAGAGCGTAGAGTGGGAATTAACTGTCGTCTACAAACACAAGACGGTTTGATAAACTAGACAGGAATAATGGGTAGATGAAAAGAATAACTTGATGAGAGACACTGGATCGAGGCCTTATAGAGCTGTAAATAGATGATGCCTCTTACCGCCAACTCCACCCAAAGCCGCCGTACCTACTCTCCCGTCGTCTTCCTGTTGCAAAAAAAAGTTGGACCACATGGCAGCCACAAGAGTTGGAGATGAGAGGAGGAAATTCCCAGAGGCAAAGTCAAGAAAGGGGACAAACAAATAACTAAAGCAAAAAACAGGAGACTAGAGAGTCTGGAGTTAGGCGGACGGATAGATAATGAGCACGCAGAGAAGTATATTAATAGAAAGCTCAAAAAGGAACAGGAAATGATTACAATGTTCTGTGATTTAAAAAGAATCCAGCGTGCAAGAAATTCAAGTGACAGGGGGTCATTTCTGAAGAGCGTAGAGTGGGAATTAACTGTCGTCTACAAACACAAGACGGTTTGATAAACTAGACAGGAATAATGGGTAGATGAAGAGAATAACTTGATGAGAGACACTGGATCGAGGCCTTATAGAGCTGTGAATAGATGATGCATTCCTTTTTTTGATGAACCTGCAGAAAAAAAAGAGAAAAAAAAAGACTAGTATTCAAAACACAGAAAATAGCAGAAGGACTGAAGAATAAATTTATCAGAGATCTACAATTGATCTTTCCCTTTAGTCACTATTTTTATTTATTTTTTATAATTTGCCAATGGGGTAGAAAAACTATTACTACTGTTACTTACCACTTCTAATTATTTGAATTTTAACTCAATTCTAAAGTTTTAATTTAATTCTAACACTACAATAAGGATGAAATTGTTATTCTTTTGTTTATTGTAATTTGTGTAGAATTTGTTCATTCACGACAAAAGCCTAAAAAATGAAGCTTTTAATTTAATTTAATTTATTTTTTAAAAATATCTAATGAAATTACAATTCAAATTATTATTTAAAAGCATAACAACACGTCTTGTTTTTAGAGAACCTTGAAAAGTTTTTTTTTTTTTTTACACCCTTGATATTTTTACTAGAAACAAAACTGCAAAACAAGTATGCAGTTGCATACACTACAGTACTTATTAAATAACACAATGTTTTTTTGTGTTTGTTTTGTTTTTTTCTTTAAGGTCACAACTAATCCAGTAATTTGTGGCATAGAGAACATCCTTAAAAGGATAGTTCACCCAAAAATCAAAACACTGCCATAATTTACTCACCCTCAAGTTGTTCCAAACCTGTATGGGCTTCATTTATCAGAGATCAACAACCAGTTGATGGTCCCCACTGACTTCCATAGTATGGAAAAAATACTATGGAAGTCAATGTGCACTAGCAACTGTTTGGTTACCAGCATTCTTCAAAATATTTTGTGTGTGTGTGTGTGTGTGTGTGTGTGTGTGCTCAGCAGAAGAAAGAAATGCATACAGATTTGGAACAGCTTGAAGGTGAGTAAATAACAGAATTTTCATTTTTGGGTGAACTATCCCTTTAATACCTTGAAAACAACATTATACCTTTGTCCTCTGTTGAGTAAACAAACAGGCAGTAAGCTTACAGAGAAGATTAATATGGGTCACGATTAGGTCACATTGTCTAAGAATTAGCTATGCCAGATGCGACTCCAAGATATCAACACATACGCATAACTCAGCCCACTTTAGCCCTGCCTGTTTGATCTGTGCCATTTTAAGGCCTCATAAATACCCCAGCATTACGTGTACAGAGAACTATTAGATCTATGGACAGAGAGTTTCAAGGTGTGCGCCATTCTGCTACTCTAAAAAAAGATGCGAGAGCAGGAAGAGTTTAGCATAGACCGAACAGACTGAGGGATGAAACACAAGGTTGTTGAGCATAGAGGCGAAAAGAGGAGTCAGGTGGAGCAGTAGGTGTTAATTCATGTATGACCGGCAAAACAACAGAGGGTCTAAAGTCGTTATCACCAGTGTTGGGTTAGTTACTCAAAGAATGTAATATATTACTCATTACTAGTTACTCCTTTCAAAAGTAATATTGTGACTTTACTTATTACTTTCTGGAAACAGTAATTAGTTACACTACTAGTTACATTACTTTTTCTTCACGCCCCACAGAAGTTGTAACTGTGTATCTTCCACATAAAATTCTTAATCTAGAATGTTACTAACAACATATTTCTGCCTCATCATTTGACCAAAATCCACATTGGATCGCAGTCAGAAGTTATTACAAACACTCAATATTGATTGGTAGTGACATTCAAGTAGAAGTGTTGTATTAATCTCATTAATTGTCA